GTCACTATCCTCATTTTTTATTGGATAACAAATTCTTATTTCTGCCTACAGCAGAAGTTAAAATATTTATTAATTAATTAATTTGCTTTTATTCTTTCTATGCTTTCCAATTTTTGTTTCTACCTTATTTTTCACAGATTCTCATCTGTGAAAAGTAATGTAGGAACAAAAATGGAGTGATAAATAATTGTATACTTGCTTACTGGAGAATTCAATAAAAATTAAAAATAGATTCCTATAAGATTTGGCTTCGCTGGCCAAATCATATGATCATAAAATTATGCAGAATGAGAATGAAGTTTGAATTTCTTTTACAGTGCCGGTTAAACAGAGTTTTCCCTATGTCTATTCATCAGATTAACCTTCCTATAGAATGTCGCAGTTTGTTACCTAAGTTTAAGTTTTTGTGCCTTAACAAGGCCATTAGAATTGCAAGACGATGTTTTTATGGAATACTGCATGGTATCATAAAATTAGAAAGTGATCTGTATGAAGAGGAGCAAGCTATTCTAGAAGAGATTAACAGTAGGGTGATCGCTTTGGAACATTCTTTGGAAAAGAGATTGAAACGCACATACATTAAAAAGCTAAAATGGCTGTTTAGATGCCAGAATATTAAACTGCAAGTGAAAAAAGAAGTATTTTTAACAACTTGAGACAACATCGTTCCTCTCCAATGCTTGATAAACGCCTTGGAATACGGCCCTTCCTTTGCACCGACACCACCGCTGTGTCCTGAAAGCCTCATACCGAACGTTGAGATACTCATAAAGGATATTCCCTCTAATTTTTTTTGTCGATGAGCGGAACACACTTCTGCAAGTGAAAAAAGAAGTATTTTTAACAACTTGAGACAACATCGTTCCTCCCCAATGCTTGATAAACGCCTTGGAATACGGCCCTTCCTTTGCACCGACACCACCGTTGCGTCCGGAAAACCTTATACCGAACGTTGAGACGCTCATAAAGGATATGAATTTATAAATATATAAATATATTTATTATATATATTTATATCCTTTATATATATATTAAATATATATATCCCTCATATGAATTTAACTGAGCAGGATTATTGCAGATGGAAAACAAGATTATATGCTGAGAAGGAGAGGTATTCTAACAAAACTGCTTTACTTTTCCAAAGGCACATTAAAGAAATGAAAGAATGGCTCCAAAAAAATGACGTTGTTCTTATAAAGGTGGATAAATCAAAAGGTGTTGTACTCATCAAACAGAGCTCATATAGAGAAAAGCTGCATGAGTACATCGATAGCACCGAATGTCTTCCTGCCCCGAGTAATTACCTGGAAGCCTTACAACAAAGAGTGAGAAAATTTACCCTAACTCCTTTAGCCAATTATCTGGATATGAGGGCTGCTACTTTACAAGCTCCCAGGACACCAAGAATTTTTGTCTTCGGGAAAACCCATAAACTTGGTTTGCAGTTACGCCCTGTGGTAGAAAAATTTAATGCTCCAACCTTCAGAATAGAAAAACAACTTGTTAAATTTATACAAAGAAAGATGCAGGTTTCGCCTTTTTCGATAAAAAACTCAGTGGACTTGATCCTGAAACTGGAAAATATTACACTCATGAATGAGGAATGGATGACAGTTTTAGATTATAAGGCATTATACCCATCAATCAAACTGCCTCCATGCTTTTGTGCCCTGGGAGATTTTTTATTCGCTAATGTTAATAACGCTATCAAATACCACACACAGATTTTAGAATTAACAGATTTAATTTGTCACACATCTTTCTTTGAATTCGAAAATAAAATGTATCTACAGAGGTGGGGAGTACCGATGGGTATCCAGCCCCATGTTGTGAGTTGGTGCTCCATAATCTAGAAAACAGTATCCTCCCTTCCTTACAACAAGATATATTGGTATATGCAAGATATGTTGATGATGTCTTTATCTTGTGGAAGGATAATCGCAACATCAAGCATTTTATGGATCTGATAAACAGTAACCCATATGGTTTAACCTTGGAATTGGAGCAACAAGGTAGTAGTAGCGTTAATTTCTTGGATCTGACTATAACATGCATAAAAGGGGAAGTCCAAACCAATATTTATTGTAAACTGATATCTATCTCCATCGTTATCCCTAAGAATTCGGCAGATCCGGAGCATATTAAAATGGCGGTATTTCGATCTTGGATAAGAAGAGCACACATGCATTGCACAAACGTCTGCGATACTGTTAAGGAATTACAATATATACGAAGAACTCCCATACAGCATGGCTACAGGAGAAAAAGAATAGAGGCTCTCATTAAGAAAGATGATAATCTGGCACGTAGGCAAAAGCAAAACCACCAAAAAGAAAAAGTGGTCCTCGATTATATACCCTTCATTAAACTGATTGTCAAGAGGGTTTCCAAAAATAAGAACTTACAAATAGTTTATCGACATAATCCCACTATATACAGGATATTAAGGAATGACAAGGGGCATTATGAACGTAACTCCTTAACAGGAATATACTCAATACTGCTAAGAGACTAAGAGATTCAACTCTAACTTAGTGTATCAATCAATAATCAATCAATATATTTTATTAAGATGTTTCAACAACACATCTCCTGGTTCCGCAAACAAGCATAGCCAGAAGTAAATAATAAAACAATAAATATTACAGCAATAAAGAAGAAATATAATGCTATTTACAATAATAGTATATCAAACATTATTTATGTCAATATTTAGTTTATATTTTAACATTTTTATGGTTATTTTTTATCAAATTAACATTTATTTGTTTTCAGTTTTTTAAAAGAGATCACATAACATATATGATATTACAACATAATACGTAATAAAACATTTATATTTTGATATTCATTAAATCATAGAATATGTATTAATGTCCGTAGTATGGATGTTGCAAATTGGTTGCTTACAACAGCAGTATATCATAAAATGTTTCTGGTTCAGAGTAGGACCAATGTTCTGAATTTAAGTGCAGAGTCTTTAGTGTATACAGAACACTAGGTTTACATTCCTATTTCCTACTTCGTCGCTATTCACCTGTCGGCAGAGTTCTAACAGTTCTGACTGGTCCAATGTTGAGAACACTCGTCGTCCTGATTTCTGGCTCAATTTATCAAAATTTGTGGCAGTAGATCATACTGTTCAGTAAGCAAAGGTTGCGTTAATTCCGTTGTCAGTCAACATGATACGTATTACAAGTTCTTGTCCTCAATGTAGTATTACAATTGTACAGGAATATAATCCACAGAAGTAGACTATTCATATGGCATGAATTAATATCATGTCCAACCTCACTGTAATAGGCTAAATCGTCTCCTTAACATGAATATAAAGAATATATCAATAATTAATAAATATTTATTTTGTAGCAGACCTGGTAACCCCAAAACCTCGATAAATTACTCTTATTTTATTAGAAACCTATCAATAATTAAATTATATATCATATATTATATTTTTAATAGGTTTCCCAAATAGTGTGTAAGACATTGTTTGTGATATATCTATATGACCCAAGACACAATAAGCATATATAACTTAGTGTATATAAGCTCAACTTTGAGGAATTTGAAAAAAAGAATCAATGAGCGTAAGCTTTCGGTGAACAAAACTGTTGACAGTACGGTCCTTGCCACTTATGCTAAATAACAAGGCATTACTGTCTTCTGGGACCGGGCCTCTATAATAAAAGCTACCAGATCTAGACACGTGGTAAAATATCTCGAAAAGCTGGAAATCCACAGGGCTTGGGATGATCTTTGATAGATATTTTATTTATTTTTATCAGTATTTATTAAACACACAGAAATTTGTATGTATAATTTCATTTATAGCATGTTACCTTTTAATTTTTTACATAACCATTTATTTGAAATTTGATTGCGTAATTTTTCGAATTTCCCATTTCGAATTAGAGAAATAACTGAAGATGAACGTTTAATGCATTTGAAAACGTTTTTATGTTATTAAAGAATTATGCTGGATAGTTGAATGGTTTTTATTTTTAATTTTTACAAAAATGGAGATTTATAATTTTTAAGAATCATTATTTTGACACCAATTCACCAGATTAACTAGTCTGCTGAGCACCTGGCCAAAAGTGCCTGGGAAAGCATTATTGGATGATTAATTTAAAATGCCAATTGCCTATTTTTAATTTTTTTATTAATTTTCTCCACATTATTTTAAATAGCAGTATTTTCATTTTGTCCTACCATTGATTATTCTTTATTAGATTTTCAAAATATTATTTATAGTTATTTAATTAATTAATGTATATATAACTTTGTGTTCATGTGTCTAACTAATGTTGTTTAGTATTATAAATTGTAACATAGATATGAGAGAGTTGCTAAATGATGCAAAATGTGGGAGTTGGACTGTAAAAGGCATTGGGGCATAGCATGCAGTATTTTAATATATTTTAAAAATTAACTTGTATGAAATGAAATAAATAAATTTAATAGATTTTAAATACAACATGCCAACCTTATTATGCTTTTCAGTTATTTTGAAACGTTTGTGTTATGTATTCAGCTCCAAATGGAACACCAATCACACCAGAAAGATTTTTTTAGAACTCTGCCTGAAGAAGGTCCTAGGGTGGACTGAAAACGTTTGTGTTACATTTCAAAATAACTGAAAAGCATAATAAGGTTGGTGTGTCATATTTATAATTAATGTTTTGTTTAGTGGATTGTTTTTATTTTAATAGACTTGTTTATTTCATTTTATATGATACCTATAAATTTTTTTAAAAAATAAAAGTTTATGTATTCTTAACTGGTACATTTGTTTCCAGTTTATTTTAGTATTAATAAAGATGGAGAAGACATTACAATGACACTGAAAATACTTTCATTCTTAAAAAGAAAATCGTATAGCAGATCATCATACACTTTCTTATTAGCATTGATATGTTAAACATATATAAATAACATTTAAATTTTCATTACATTTATCAAAAATATTAACATTGAACTTTTTTTAATTTTAGTCTATGCATATCGTATCAGATAGATATACACAGGCGAGTGTGTCTACAATTCCGACATTCAACGAACAGGGTACTTTAGAAAGAATCAATTTAACTAATGACTGCACGCACGAAATATTAGTTCCAACCTGTTCGTACCGTATGGGTACAGAAAAAATGGGATACGGAATGGCCATTTTATGTAAATATATTTTATTTTTTTAAAGGATTAATAATTATCGTTACAAAAGTTCCAACGATTCTTTTAATTGTGACTGACTATTTTATTTGAAATAAAGTTTGTCAGTAAAAATGGCTTGATTGCAATTGATACACTTCTGCCGACTCACAGTTAAAAGAAAGTCCAGATTTAAAAATCAATAAAATTCTTAAAGATGTCACAAAGGAAATAAATAGTTTGCACTTAAGAAAATGGAAGAAATATTTAAAAGTCCATACTCTATGAGAAAAAGTGCAGCAAATGAAATAGGCAAAGAATTTAATGAGGTCAATTCATCCGAGTTTGAAACTTCACATATTTTGGTGAAAACAAGCTACTTGTGTCGATAAGAATATACAAAATAATAATAAAATCTACTGGAACCTGAATAACTAAAATAAATACTACTTTTATCTATCCATCAATAAATATTTAATAATATAAAAATGTTTTCAACCGTTTTTATATTATTAAATATTTATTTCTGGATAGATAAAGGTGGCATTTATTTTAGTTATAAAAATCTACAGTTGTGTATTCTGTTGCCAATAGTTTTTTATGTTAAAATCAAGTTTGGTATTACAAAAATCATTGATAGTTGTCAAAAAATATCCAAAATAGTTAACTATAAAGCACATCTTTATTTTGAGTATAGAATTGATATGATATATAAAGAATGATTTGTTAGCAATGTTTGCTTTTTCAAAGGTTCAATAGAGCAAATTTATCAGTACAATTGTTGTTAAAATTAAAGTATAAAAAACAGTAAAATTATCAGTAAAATTTTGATATATGAAGCAGTCACTCTTGAAATGTTCTGAAAAATGCAAGTATTTGTCTTAATTTTTTTTCTATTTAAAAAAGTTCTTTCTTCTTAAGTTATGAAATAATATTTACATTAATTTTGAATTACAATGGCAAAATAAATAAGAAGATATTCCTTTCTCTTTATACAAAGCCTTTATACTACAGTTTGTATATCCAAAAACACGGCATGAATTTAGCATCTTTCTAAGCTCAAAAAAATATACAAACTATTGTCCAGTTTTACCAATCTTTTTTATCATCATCATCAATTAAAATGACAGTTATAAAATCACATCATTAATAATCTCACAGTTCTTTTGGCTTGTCATATAAATTCAACCATTTTTTTCTAGTTATTTTTTCATGTCAAAATGCATTTTGGACCTTTACTAATCTTTATTAAAATTTAACAGATGTGTTAAACCTGTTTAACATCTAAAAAGATAGGATCAATGGGATAGGGCAATGCAATACATGAATGATCTCTCAATGAGGTAGGTGCCTTCTGGAACTCTCTATGAGAAACTGGTTCGTATTTAGGTATTAGACATGCAAAGAAAATCTACAGAACTCCACTTGGCCTGACTGTTGGTCAAGTTCCAACCCACAACAGACCACCAGTGTTTGGTGGTTTAGTCCACTCGACCACCAGTTAGCCTAACAGCCAAAAGTGTTTCATCAAATCTCATTAATGCTACTTTAAAGTTTTATTTTAAGTCTGACTTTGGAACATCGAAGTTTCTAATGACTCATTAAGTTAAAATAAGATGATGGAGAGTTTAAATGCAGAGCTGTTATATATCAGGTGTGTTGAGAATGTAGAATCATAAAAAAATTATTTACCATTCAGATAGTGCAATTTTTAGCTTTTGGATGGTAATCATTTCATTATTCTTTTAAACAACACATGCATTTGAGTTAAGATCAAGTACAAGATTTTCTCATTTTGTTTCCTTCTTGTTTAATTGTAATACCATCAGTATCATATATTTTCAACTATACTTTCTTATTTTTTAATTAATTCAATAAAAATACTTTTTCCAGATTTGTATGATTTGAAGTTACTCACTCCAGTTTTGATTTAGTTATGATTGTACAGTACATGTTGGAGTAATCAAAAAAGAATTTAACATCAAACAAGTATGAGGAAATTTTTATGAAACCAGTTGTGTTTTCTGACACAACAGTAAACTGTTAAGAAACTGCTCATTAAGTTAAAGATTGTTGGTGAAATGGAACTTTGTAATAAAATGCTAATTTAAATGAGTTGATAGTAAATACTGCATTGAGTGATATTTTAACTAAAGTTGATGGAACCAGTTGTACAATTGCAATACAAACAGTAAACTTGTTTTTCACAGGATCACATGATAACACACAAACTGATCTCATTAGTTTGGAAAGGTATGAAAACTCAAGGATGCTTTTCCGCATGCTTGGTAAGATGGAGCCTGTCACTTCTTAAGATGGTTTCACATAGCTTGCAATGGCAATTTGTCCAAGAAAAATACATGATGAGGTTTTCAAGAGAAAAACAGAGGTAAAATATAAGTTTACTATCACAGTATTCAGATATTATAATGACAAAACAGATAATTGATATGGCAATCTGTGCAAGAACTATTTCAAATATAAATCATTAATGCTAACAATTTAAACATTACTGGTGTTACATGCAAATAAAAGAAAAGAAGATGGTGACTTTGCCCTGCTTAGTGAAATTTTTCATTCAAAAAAGGGAACATTATGCTATTCATTGTTTTCTTTTGATGGTAGGTGAATAAAACAATTCTGTTTATATCTAAAAATAGTTTATTGTCCTTAATCCTTTTCCCCCTATCTGGCCATTTCCACAAATCAGGAGCATGGAAGAAAGAAACTTCTAGGTTGTTTCCATTTTCCTTTCATTTCTCCCAAATGCATTTTGAACATTGTATCCACTGAATAGGAACAAATAAAGGTAAAATTTGATACAATGTTTACAAGCTAAAATATATAATATATATTTTAATGATATGTTAATAAGTAATCATATAAACTTTTGCTAACATATTACTTACATATCATACAGGCAGTAATACCACACAAATTGATTTGCCACTCTTTTCGACTAAAGCTAAATTAATATGTAAATTTAACTTATTCACAAATAATTATAATCAATTATAATATTTGGTGATATAGAAACAAAATTTCTTACATTTTATTGTTTTTATCACAATATTCTTCTCCAAGACAAGGAATTTAAATTAATATAGAGATGATACAGAAATATAAATGGTATTAGATAGTTATGACAGAACTCCAAAAATATCTAAGAATAAAAAAACACAAGAACCCTGTAGAATATAGGCCTCTAGTTAATATTAAAAATTACATATTTTATGGTTTATAAAAATTTCTAAAAGATAAAATTAAACTGTATTAAAAATTCTGAGTATAGCATTAATAACATTGATCAATTTCTTCAAGATTTAAAAAAATATATGAATTAATCAAAATCAAAAAATGCTTTGTTAGATATAAAAAAATACATATCCAAGTGTTACAAAGAAAATGATAGAATCCTGATAGAATTAAAATGTCCAAAGGGGATTATAGTTATATTGTTATTTGTGTTAAATAATAATTATTTTCAATATAAAACGGTTTATTATAGACAAGTCGATGGAATCCCTATGGGTTCCCACATAGATTCAAAACTGGCAGAGTTAGTCGTGATGTCCAAAGACAAAAAAGATATCAAAACCTTACTGGAATTATATTTTTTTTTAATATGTAGATGACTGTTATTATATGATAAGTTAACAAATAAAGCAGCAATATATTATATTCAGTAAATGTTATTGATGATGAAGTAAAGTTTGAATTAGTAGAAGAAAAATTTTGTTTTTAGATTTAACTATTATTAGAGGCCAAAAAAATTAATTTTTGAAAACTTTGTAAACCCATTGGGGTTTCAAACATAATAAATTATTTATCTGAAGTACCAGTAAATTTTTTAGGAAAACATTTTCAATATGTATTGTACTATACAGTATGTAGAAAAAATTTGTAAAAGAACCACATATTAAAAATTGTAGATGCTAAGAACAGGAATAAAAGGAAATTGTAGGTATTATAAATAATTTTCTTTTAAATAATTACCCACAGAGTCTATTAATCCAATTGTTAAATTTATAGAAATAAAAATAAATCAAGGACTTGTTAAACTTGCTTATATAAAAAAATATATTCAAAAGAATAATAATATTGCTGAAAAATGGTATTGGTTTAATAGCTGAACGAACAAATCAAATAGGAAAGATGATACAGCTCCAAAAAATAAATGTAAAGAATTAAATAAAATTATGGAGACTGCAAGTGTAGTTTATCCATTTAGCTGTAGTTGTAATCAACCTCCTAACATTTATATATGTGAAAGTAAAAGAAAATTAAAAGTCAGAAATCAATGAACATATAAAATCTATCCAAAAAATTGTGTGCACTTTGCAGCTGCAAGACATTGCAATATCCAAAGGTTGCAAAATTAAACTGAGTACAGTTAAAATCCTTAAAAAGAAATTTATTTAAATGTCAATTCTTCAAGCAAGTTAAAATAGTAAGTAATCTTAATAATGTTATAAATGATGATCATGGAAAAATCAGACATGAATCAATGAAAAGCTTTGTATATCCAGGGGGAACTACGATCGGTGTTATGTAGAATCGACATTTATAAGACGGTTGAATTCGTCGTCTTATTTCCATTGAAAAATAGAATAATTTTGTGAAGGACAACCTAATTGTTAATTTTTTAAAAAAGTAAACAGAGGATTATCTTTCAAAAAGTGGTAGGTTCATAATTAATAATCTTTTTAAGTTTTTAATTTAATATACTCTTATCATTTTCTTAACCTTATTTGCTTTTAGTTAAAATACCTTCAAGAAATATATAAATTAAACACCTTGTCTTGACAAAATACATTTAATTTGAAAATTAAACATAAGAATATTGTGACAAAAACAATAAAAAGAGAAATTTCTGTAAATAAGTTAAATTTACATATTAATCTAGCTTCAGTCAAAAACAGTGGAAAATCAATTTGTGTGGTATTACTGCCCGTATAATGTGTAAGTAGCAAAAATTTATATGATTACTGTATTAACATATTAAAATATATTTTAATAATATGTTGTTATATGTAAATATAATAAATATATATGTGTGATATATATATTTTGTATATTTTAGCTTGTAAATATTGTACCAAATTTTACCTTTATTTGTTCCTATTCAGTGGATACAATGTTCAAAATGCATTTGGGAATAATGAAAGAAAAACGGAAACAACCTAGAAGTTTTTCTCCCATACTACAAACATAAGTCCCAATTAAAGCAAGTAGGAAAAACAAAATTCTGTTTATATTTTAATAAGAGAAATAATAAATTTACAATCCCATTTCATGATTTCTCTTACTCCATCCATAATTTTCACTGCAGTGTACTGTGTTTATATTCTGAAAGATTTTTACAAAGAGGATGCTGTTAGAATATTTTGGTTAATTTATCCTCATCTTTAGTCGGTTTCTTATTTAATAACAGCTGTGATTCTGTGACAATTTGAATGACTAACGATCGAGTGAATAATCAAGATTAATTTTTCTTTCTTGATACAGATAAGGCTATACTGTTGTTGTTTATCACTATAATTACATTCAATTAGTTTTTATATAAGCAAGAATGAGGAAGCTGGAAAAATTCTGATCTCTTTGTCAATGTCAACTTTTATGTTTTTGATGCAAGTGTGGCAAATTAAAAATGATTATCATGATTCTTGTAAATTGCTGTTCTATGTAAAATCATCTTAAGTCAGGAGCATACTGTTTATTCCAGCTGCTGTTTCCTTAATTGTGCAAGAATCAGTGGACCCACCAGTGGCGAACAGTTCCATTTCCTGAACACTGGGAATTCAGTCGCGGGTTTGTACCTGGCCAGGTTGGGCTGGTCACGTGGAATTTTCTGGGTTTTCTTCACATTTGTAATGCCTGAATAGGGGCCAGTTACCCTTAAAAAGACCTCCTGGAAGATCCCTCCTAGGCATATCACCCAAGTGTTGCATTGCTAATTTAACAAAACAAAGCAAGAATCAGTGTCAACTTTCATACAATTTCAGGCATAATTTCTATCAGGTGGGGAAACCGACATCACTAATCAGAAGGATGATTCTTTTTCCCTCCTAACATCCCACTGCTGATATTACTTGTAAAAAGATCAGTGGATATTTTTGTAACGATATAACAAAAGATGTCAATTTTTATTGGGTTAGCAAGTAACATCCATAAGAAGATACAATACTGTTCAAAAGTATAAAATAGACTCAATGTTTTAAAAAGTATTGCAGTTCCTAATTAAAATAATGGACCTCTATAAACAGGACTTTTTGGACCAAATTTGATATATTGAATGTAGAGTATACAGGATTTTAGATTCCTCTGTCCATGTATTAGATAATAGCAAAAAGTATCAAGAATAATGAAAAAAGTAACTTTTATTTTTACAATTATAGTATGAATTATTTATTTCAAACAAAAATAGCATCATAAAAATACAAGCAATGAATGAGATTTCGGTTCTGTATAGGTTTTACTCTGACTTTGAGGATAGCTTGGCATTAGTTTGGCACAGACTCGATTAAGAAGAGATAACATCGATGTCCATTTCATGGGATCAAATACTGAAGGACTTCTTTTATTTCTTATTTTGATCTAGGATACCATTAAAAAAATATGACGGTTTATTTTTTTTTTGGCTGCATGACAAGGTGTCGAGTTGCTGGAACCGTCATTCCCGATTCTTGGTGTTCTTTCGCAGTTATCACTACTCGATCTTCATACAGAGCTGCATTCATTGTCTATCTGACTAAATACTGTTGTTTACAACCTTTAAATGCAATGCAGTTTGTTATCGTGATAGATTCAAAACGCTTAGCAGTTGCATTGATGCACTCTGGTCAGAAAGTTTCATTAGATGTCCTGACAAAAGGTGGTCTGTTATACAATTGAAAGCATGATTCATCAGAGAATATTACTTTAGTACCATTTGTGTAAAATCTAGTCACTGTGCTTCTTTGCCATTCATAACGTTGTTTTCCTTTTTTAATTTTTTCAGTTACTAATTTTTTTCTCTGTGGAATCCCAGTGTGCAGAGTATATACAGAACAGTGAAAGTGGCACTTTGATAAACACCTGTTAAAACTGTTTTTCATTTTGTCTGAGGTTGAAAACCTGGTTTATATGACACCCTTAGTCTTTCATTGTGAGTTTTTTAATCATGTTGCTTTTCCTTTCCAGCTTGCTGAGATTATTCACACATCCAATAATTTTGGAAATTATGGTAGCCAAATAATCTTTCCAATGTAGGCTAATATCTTGACATTTCTTTTCATTCAAGGTGTTAGTTCACATATTTTTGGCATTTTTCAACAAGTTTGAGAATAAATAATAATTCATTATCAAGTGCACAACTTTTATAGGTTAGTGCACATAATACAATCTGACAGAATTGGCAATTGTACCAATGCAACCAGGCCAATGTCGGTGCAAATGAATGTTATGGCAATAGCTTAACAATGTTATTGAATGGGTATAACAAAGATTAAAATACTACTTTCTTTACAAAATTATTGAACTTGCATAAAACTGTTGGGTTATTCGATACTTTTGAACAGTGCTATATACATAAGTATCGAGCATGATGACAAACATCCATTTTATTCCAGATAGGGTCGTTAACTTCTGGGATCACACCAATTTGGAGGAATTGTTCAGCCTATTTATTTTATCAAAGTTTTCCCTGCGGCTTTCTTTGTCCGAGTGCAGTAGGCATCTGAATCTAATGCCGACGAGTGAGGCAGAAGTTAACGGCTCAATCTTTTCATAAGTAGATATAAGGGTAGAAGACAGTGCCAATGATCCGATATTTTTCCCACAGATCCAAACGGAGTACTATATTATTCAGTGCTGTGGTTGCCGTCTCGTCTCAAGCAGCTGTACTTTTACTTGGGGTTGGGCCTGACCTGCCTGCTGCTGCTTATGCCTTTGGCAATATGGAAACCCATCGACAGATGGACCGAAAGAATCTCCTCTCTCTTCTCTCTGCGACAACGATGACTACCCGAAAGAAACTGCCGCACCCATCGTTCCGCCTCCGATATTTTATTTACCGAAAAAATAAATTTAATTTTATAAAATTTGATTTATTTCCTTTGTTTCCTCCATCATTGTCGGCAGCCACGCCCGGTAGTAATACTAAAGCAAAAATATGCATTTCTACATTTAAACTGCTATAATGTGATAGTCACCATTGCTAGTTCTAAAGAAAATTATCTTTAACAAGTTTCTAGTACGCCATAAGCATAATATATTGCCATTTCTAGCAATTAACCAGCCAATTTCGGGAATTTTTTGCCACATAAAATTGCTAACGAAGGTTATTCCTTATTTTGTGATAATTATGTCGACACGGTAAAATGGAAACATCAATAAAGTGGGACATCAGTTACGCATTGATGACAAAGATAAATAATTATTTATTTAATAATGACGTAAGGGGATATCATTGAGTGGAAACAAACACCAGAGACCAAAGACACTGTTCTGGTCTTAACGTTTTCCATTTAAATTTTCTTAGCTCTGTATAATTTGGGGGAGAAATCTAAAACGATCATTCATCCTGTAAAGACGTTCCTATTTTATATCACAGAAGAATCCCGATTAACCTAGGATCCACATTATCCAAGAAACCCGTAATTGAAGGCAATCTTTGTCTTAACTCTAAAGAAGTTTTTAAAGAAAGTTTAAAACAATAACATACTGTATATTACAAAATTATTTCTTTTGTTTTATCATTTGAACATCAATTTGAGACAAACCATTCATATTAAAATGTAACTACAATAATATATAGGTCATACATACTGTATGTTTATTCCTAAAACTATTGTTCGTATTAGACATAATAAACGTCGTAAAAAATATTGTTTTTACGATTAAAGTCACTAAGATATAAGCGGGGAGCCCCTGCTGCCCACAGACGCCCACTCGTTCCCAGTATAATTTATTCATAACAGGCATTTCAACGAAGCGCAATACCTTCGTCCGTCTAATTTCGAGTGAAGATTCCGTAATGTAGGCCAAACTAAGTTCGGATCCTTCCGGAAATGCACCTCCACACACTAACCAGAAAAGCAGTTTTTATTCAAATTACATTTTAAAAACTTGCGCTTTCCTCTATCGAAATCGAACGTAGAATGACGTTCAACTTCCGAAACAAAAAACCTTTTCAAATAATTTTGAACGTCCCACAGAAAAGCGTTTCAATTACACCAGTGTTTTTGTGGGGCGCGAGACTATTGCAAGGGCGCGCGCAGCTTTTACCAAATTATCATTTTTTAATGCAAACAAAACAGAAAAAAGTCAAATCGATGTCGAAAAAATGAATCGGCAAAACGGTTATGCCTAATTCACAACTCTGGTCAGAACGACTCGGATACCAATGCTAAAAATCCATCCACACTGCTTGCCAAAACGTCTAGACGAGAGTCGAGCCTCGGCGAACAATAAACTTTATTTAATAAGGTATAATATTTTGTAGGTCATTAACAAAATTTATAAAGGACAGTATTTACGAAATTAGATCAGATAGAAAATTGAAGGGGCGTAGCAACTTTTCTGAAAAAAGAGGGGGCGGAGGTACGGAAAGTTTGGAAACCACCGAATTACACGGTCCCGTTCTCGTTCCCAATATACAATAGAGCATCGTTTATCTGAATCAATTAGGGACGGTTTTTCGGATAACCGATTATACCGGTCTGCGAGTAAAAAAACTGCATATGATTTTTATACATTTTCTTACAGATTTCAACTTGGTAAAAACGAAAAAAATTCTATCTCGTCAATTTTTTTGATACACTCAAGTTTTTCTTTGTATTTAGCGTAAAATTTCTAGTTAACTTAAAATTTAGTATTATTATTATTTTGAATGGCCTTAAAACGAAGACTTCTCACATTAATTCTATCAATTATAGCTGGACTTGGTAATAAATAAATACTGTATGTTAATGGTTGAAAAGAGTAGTGGTAGGGGGAGGTGGGTTGAGTACTTTTAGCGTTAGAAGGAAGGTTGCGTGATCGTATAGAAACAGGTTAAAAGTTGATAGTAATATTATTGGTGAGGTTGAGCGTGTTTCGACTTATTATCTGGGATACTAGAAATAAATATAAACAACCCGCTGTTGGATTAGATCGTGTTTCGACAAGCTAAATAAGTTCAGTATCTCGCTGGCCATCTAATGCCACACACAGTTTGTATCTGGCATTCAAACGCTACTGCGCTTGTATTTTATTTCTGGAATATGGCTCACAGAGGTTGCGTAATTTCTCCCGACAGTTTCTGTGAAGTTTGTGGTGAATACGCACACAACAAAGAAACATAAGTGAGTTGTGAAGAAAGTTTAATTTGCGTATTTCAAATCGAAACTTGAGATCGAAACAAAGCAGATTTTTGGAAACAATGGGAGAAAAAGAAAAAGAAACATGCACTACATTCTTGAAAGAATGTAGTGCATGTAGTCTTTAGTATTCCCCAAAAACTTATGCACTACATTCTTTCAAGAATGTAGTGCATAAGTTTTTGGGGAATACTAAGGACCATGACTACAAAACCATTGTACAACGCATACTGGTAGCAGCGTATGAAGCTCGAGAATGCGAGATGAGCTTAAAAGTTCATTTCTTACACTCCCGTATTGACTATTTTCCCGAAAACTTGGGAGCCTACAGTGAAGAACAGTGTGAAAGATTTCACCAGGATGTCCGTGATATCGAGAGACGTTACCAAGGAAAATGTACTGTCAATACGTTAGCTGACTACTGTTGGATGCTCAATCGAGAAACCGGAGAAGGAAATCGGAAACGAGTTTGGAGAAGCATTAAAAAGAAGCAGAAAAGGTATCGTAAGAAAATTGTGTATAAATATCGGAAACAATTTGTTGATTAGTTGTAAGAAAATATAATATACTAGCTGCAAGGACCCGCTTCGCTGGGTTTTTATTTGTGGGCAAAAAGTAACGATAGTGAAGGTTAAGATAATTACATTATAGTCCATTGTTTTTCAACCGGGGTGCCGCGGCACCTTAGGGTGCTACGGCGCCACGATTGGGGTGTCGCAAAGTTTAGAGCCTTTACGCATTTTCTTGGAAATTTACTTAAGTGTAGTTCAAGATAACTCATTGTCAGTTCTATTTTGCTACGAGATATCTAGTAAGCAAAGAAACTATGATTAATCCCGTGTTAATGTAATGTTCTACGCTACGTGTACGCACGACTTGTCACGAGTTCGTTCAAACCACATTGCTTGGCCTTCACGTTCCCAGTCCCAGTACCAGGCCAACCACCAGAGAAGANATATGCTATATGATTAAAATATTTTTAGAAATTCTTAAAACAGAAAACATCAGATGCCCTGCGTCAGTTTTTTCAGCGGCATTTTTTTCGAAATTTTTCAAAAAATTCAAGTTCTCCAATTTTTTTCAGCTGCAAAAAATGCAATAAATAATTTTCTTATCGCGCGCCAACTTTTCTCAGGGAAAAAAAAAATGCCGGCATCTCACAGAAGCCCTGCAACCCTTCTGCGGAAAAAATTCTCCAGAAAAACGCGATTGCGAGAATCTCTATTGTTGATCGCGACCATAGTGCGCATCTGTATTATATTCTAGTTTTTCAGCGATCGCAGCTTCGATTCGCTCTTTTGTAGGTCGATTGACTTTCTTTAAGCCAATAAGTGTATTGTCACCACCCCTGGGCCATAAATATTTTGGTAATACACTCCCCTACTAATCTACAGTAAATCTTTCAGTAAAGTACACAGTTGGCTGAAAACAATCAAAGGAAAACTCCTTCTAAAGTTTTATTGGGTATCTTCTGTCTTTGTTGACATTACTGTAACTAATCACAGACTTGTGAAAGGAAAAATTGCCGCGAAAAGTCCCGCCTCCAACCTTCGAAGTAAAATGTAAACAATCACAATAAATTCGCTTTTTAAATCGTTTTTTTAGCTCTAAACAACTAATTTAACGTTTTTGACATTAAATTAGGCAATTCGACAATATTTAGGCATGTAAATATATTTTTAAAACTATCTAGCAATAAATATTCCCGGGAAACTCCACCTCCCTATAGTAAGTGTATGGAAGATGTTCTTGCTGTTAATTGGCATTAAAATCTTTATTTCTACGCCTATTACGCTCTAATTGGTAATTTATATTATGACAGAATCAACTTTCAACGAATGAGAGTGTTTTCAGAGCCATCTGGTCTGGATTTTCCCGCGAAGAACCAATCCACGTGATCAAAGTCAGAATGTAAACAAACGTTAAAAAATTGCTATATTCTATATTTTAGAGCGTATTTTTACTAGTTTGCATGTTATTTGACTTTACTTAGATAAGAAGATTTTTTAACAACAGCTTCCGGCTAAAAAATTAACCAGGAAACTTATTACTTCCGGATGTTGCGTAATCGCAAAAAAAAAATTAACTGATCGCTTATTATAGTGTATTATTGCATAAAGTGTAGAAAAAAATATATAAAAGGTGTCAAATATTTACTATTTGAAGCAGAAATATATATTGATAAACTTTGCAGCATTGCTTCACGATGACAATTGACTCCTCTCCCTGCTAAGTAATTTGAGAAGTAGTGTGAATTATGGCAATAACTTCTCCCCCGCTCTAGATAAAGAGCTGAAGTTTGTTTTGTTTAAAAGAAAACAGGTGTGTCTAGCTAACAAATGTTTCAAATTAAACAGAACGTTTACAGATTTTTAAATTTTTACTTTTTTCCTAAAAAATTTAAAATTTTTATTACATTTAATAATCGTAAACTGTGAGACATTTGCGGCAAAAATAATGAAAATAGGCGATTCTAGCTCGATTTTAAAGCGAGATATTGGAATTTATTATTACACTCAGCGAAGTCTTATACTCTGCGAGAAATCGCGTTTGTCCACGCGACAAAAATTTTAAAAATTAATTACGCTAAAACAAATTGCGCTAATTGTACAATTTTTGTTTCTTGCATAACTATTTCATTTAGGTATTGATGCAAATGCATTTTTTTAATTAAATTTCGAGAATATTTTTAGTTATAAATGAAAGAATTTACACCTTCGACATCATGTCGTAAATTGCCGAATTT